GAGAAGAGAAGAGAAGAGAAGAGTTGGAAGGGACCTTGGAGAGCTTCTAGTCCAACCCCCTGCTTAGGCTGGAAACCCTACACCACTTCAGACAAATCTTCTTAAAAACTTCTCTGAGTGGAACCTATTAATCAAGACTTGCTGAGAGTCCCAGTATTGAGAGAATCCATGTTCAGAGACTCTGGGCTCAGTGAATTTTCTTTGAAGCAGGTTTTTTTGCATTGCAATTGTTTCAGAAGCACTGAGGTGCTTCTGGGTTGAAAGGATTAGCCAGTGGGGGACAAACAATTGGGGACTCCTTTCATGTCCCTGGCAGGAGCTGGTGTGAAGGAGAGGAGCTCAGTTCCACAGCATGACAGCTTTCGGGTCTCAAACATGGACTTCCTAACTTCCAACCCAGCATCCTAACCATGCAAGTCCCCATGCTCCCTTTGGAGCAGTTGACTCTCAGATGTACAGGCGGCCCCTTCTTACATTTTCAAACATTCTTAAAAAAACATGTTCCCTTTAGAAAAACAAACATTTGCAAATGAATAAGATCATGCTGTCCCTGAGTAATGTTACACTGGATTGATGTTTTATAATTGATTGTATTATACCTCATTATATCAATACTGTTTTAGGGTAAAAGTAGCATTTATGTTAAAGGAATATATGAATTATCCTTCTGAAAGATACCAAGCATGACATTTTCTTTTTAAAAAATCCAAGCACCTAGGTAGTAAGTTAACATTTTCACTAATAAGGCACTATGGCTCTATGATTAAGACTGGTTCCATCATATCCAACAAAATGTGTTCCCTTACCAGATTGTGAAGAATAGGATGAATGGGTGGGATTGAAACTCGAGATTGACAGAAATATGGTTAAGAGAAACACATTTACTTTCAATAATTTCCAAGACTTAATGAATTGTTCCTTAGAGTAATGAAGAAGTAGCTGAATCATATATTATCTTTAAGGAATCCTACAGAACTTATTACCTAGTAGATGACCGAGGAATGGTAATTGTGGTCCCTATCTTCAAAAAGGAAAAAAAAAAGGAGGATCCAGGGACCAGAGATTCAGCTCTCACATCAATAATAGGGAAGATGCTAGAGCAGATCAATAAAGATTCAAATTTTTTTTGAAAACTATTTGAATTACCAAATGGCAACAAAAAATTGTCAAGAACAAATTCTTGCCAGATGACACAATTGTTTAACTATTTTAGTGAAAGTAAACTGTGAATAACTAGGTAGCAACTTGGTAAAGATGGGCAAAGCATTTCATGCACAGACAGAACAAATTGTTCTGGACAATCTGTGCACAAACTGAAACATGTCTGTTCTATCTTTATGTTAACCCTACAATACAGTTTGGAACATGTGTATTGTTCATTCATAGACCCAGAACATGCAGGCTCCAGGATGAAGAGAGTGGTGGAAAAAGGACTGTCAGTGGAGGAAACAATGCACAATAGTGACTGCAGAAAGGGAAAGAACATATGGAGAGATCAGAGGAGGGCAAATGCATAGGACATATGGGAAGAAAGCAGAAGAGAGGGATAAGGTTCTGGTTCAGATTTTTTTTTGGTCAAAATCCAAAACAAGATGTTCAGGGTTTGGTTTAATTGGACTGGCAAGACACAAAGTGTTTATTCCTTGCACCCAAAGTATACCTTTCACATCATGCATGCTCCCATAAACTAGTTAACAGTGGACCTGGTCACATGATGAATCTGTATGTATATGACTCATACTCAAGGAGTGCTCATCAATTATTCATCAAATTGAGGACAGATTTTCAACCCCAAAGGATCCTCTGCTTTTTAGTATTATTATTCATGAATTAGAATGTGGATGCCCATCAAATTTCTGGATGTCCCCATACTGGTTGGAATAACTAGTACTGTAGTCTGGAGCACGGAAATAAAATTCATTGAATTTCTTGCTAAATTTGAGGGATTGAAAATAATAGAATGTAACGTAACAGAAACAAGCACAAAGTTCTTTATTCAGAAAAGAAAAATTAAATGCACATGTGTAGGATAGGGGATACATGGATTGGCAATGATACTTGTGAAAAAGATTGTGAAATACCAGTTGACCACAAACTGGATATGAACAAGGAGTGTTTTGTAGCTTTTAAAAAAGCATTCACAATTTTAAACTGCAATAACAGAAGTGTAATTTCCAAATCACAGAAAATAATTTATTTTGTTCTGTTTTGGTTAGACCTCACCTAGAAAATAGTTTTCAATTTTGGGAATCCTGTTTTAGGAAGGGTTTATAAACTCAAAGAATAATTTGGGGGTTAGAAATTAAGATCTATTTAGAAAGATTAAAGGAACAGAATATGTTTAGTTTTGAGAAAAAACAACTGAAGGAAAATAGATCAAGACCTATTCCCATTATCAGAAGTTACCTAAAAGTAAAAACAGTTCAACAGTGAAACCAATTATCGAGAAAAGTAATATCTGCTTCACTGGATATGGATTCAAAAGGAAGATTAAAGATCATCTTTCAAGAATGCATTAATATGGATTTTTGCAGATTGAACTTGATGCTATAAATGACCCTTTTCAGATCTATTTAGCAAAAACAAATTAAAAACTTCAAGCAGCTTCTAAACAAACATTTTTAAAGATTTGCTTGAATACAAATACAAGTGAACTAATTCAAAGAACATAATTTAATTATTTTAATTCACTGTCCTGTAACATTGAGATATGTATTTTAAATCTGCAGATATGATTCTGATATGCAGTATTAAACAATTTAAAAGATGATGATACAATCTATCCTATAATTGCATTCATATTTGTACATATTATGAACATATTTGTTCATAAATTTATATCGAATCCATAAACAAACAAATTTCTTTTCTCGCAGGAAAAATTATCAACTTCTAAAGCTCTACTTTTAAAAGGAATAGGGAACAATTGTTAGAGAAAGAAAGCTAGATGCACTACAACGGCCTACCACGTTTCTGCAAATGAGATTTTAAAATATTATGAGCTTGTTTTTTTTTTCGTATTCTTTCACTGTGATTTCCTGAACTCCTATATCTTAAAAGTATAAATAGAATAACAGAGTTGGAAGGGACTTTGGAGGTCTTCTAGTCCAACCCCCTGCTTAGGCAGGAAACGCTACACCACTTCAGACAAATGGTTATCCAACATCTTCTTAAAAACATCTTGTTGGAGCATTTACAACTTCTGGAGGCAAGTTGTTCCACTGATTAATTGTTCTAACTGTCAGGAAATTTCTCCTTAGTTCCAAGTTTTCTAATCATTTCTAATCATGCACTCATTTTCAATTTCTAATTATGTATCCATAGTAGTGCCACTGAATATCCCACTTAGCGGGAGTTGATATTTTAACATTTTCCTGCTGAAAGAGTTAGAATGTGTGATACACATTGTCTGCTTCTCTGTCTGTCTGCTGTCTCTCTCTCTCTCTTTACACCCCCCCTCCTCACACACACACAGAAATATATTTACATATATTTGGATAAATAAACATATCCAAATATATACATATACATGTAGGTGGATGGGTGACTTTTCAAATAAAAAGAGGTTCAACTGACTTAGAGATAGTTTGAAATAGATTTAGGATAGTACTCTAATGCTCTTTAGGAAAAAATAGGTGCATGACTGTGTTTGCTTAAAACAACTTAACAAATACAGGTAATGTAATACTCAACTTATGGCCACAACTGGGACTAGAACATATGTCCCTAAGCTTTTATGCTGTGGTCACTAAGCAAATCCTCCTTCCCCAATTGATTTTTTTGTCAGAAACCCTCTGAGAATGTTGCAAATGACAATCACATGATCCTGGGGCATTGCAATCATCAAAAATACATGCCTGAATTTTGATCACATGACTACGGGGGCCCTA